TACACTCCGATGGTCAAGTTAGCTCCTGGTGATCGGAACAGTGCCAAGGATGTGCAAAAAGGGGTGAGGAGGAGAATATCTATTTACTTGTTATGAAGAGTTAAGTTGTAAGAGTTTCATTACCTTTGTCTCTTGTCAAACCTTGGGTATTTATAGTTGAGGAGAACCATTAGATGTGGGACACGTGTATGTATCTGATGGTGTGAGGCGTTTGCTCATAGGCGTCAATCAGCCGCGTCTATAGAGTGGGCGGGTAATAACTTCTCCTGAGCTGAGTGACATAAAGTTGATACGTCACATCAACTAGGCCCATGGAGACGCCAAATCAATTAAACTTTGGGGGAAGAGATGATCTTGACACAGATCTCTTTCTGAAATTGACGGCGGATCCTCTGACAAAGGTCGCCGGAGTGCATTGTATTTCGGGGGTCAAAGCCAAGAACGCTTCGATGGGTTCAGTACAATTGTTCGTACCTTGCAGCGTGTTAGCGGCTCACCAACATTGGTGATGGAGTCACTTCGAATCCATTTCGGATGGGTGTTGGACACCTCATCTGACACAGTGGAAGACTTTTCGAAGTGGTTTAGATAGGGGGCGTAACAATGGTCCCCCCAGGTTTAGGCATGAATATTTATATCGTGGGTAGACTTGTTTTCCCAATCGGGTATGTTTGCCTCGGGATAGGAACCGCGGTTTGTGAGACCCTGTGGGGATGGTTTTCTGTGTTCACAGAAGAGAAGAAGGTCGGGACATCTCTTCGGTGGACAAAGCTTCACTACTGCCTCGGGAAGGAGCTTATGTGCAACCGATGTGCTGGCCGACAGGACGGTGCGTTGGGAGACGGCTAAAGCTTTGTAAATATTAAGAGGGGATGAAGCTACCGAGATGATGATCCACAGGGGACATCGCGTCAGTTGCGTTGAGCTTTGTAAAGCTGAGGGGCTCATCTGACGCCGGTGCGCTGACCCACAGGGACAATGCGTTGGGAGATGGTTAAGGCTTTGTGAAGCTTAATAGGAAACGCAGCTACCGAGGTGATGACCCACAGGGGACTTCGCGTCAAGTGCGCATAAAGCTTTGAAAGCTGTGTGGAGCCCATGTCTCATCGGTGCGCTGACCCACAGGGGACGACGCATTGGGAGATGGCTAGGGCTTTGTAAAGCAGAAGAGAGAACGCAACTACCGAGGTGATGACCCACAAGGCACTTCGCGTCAGGTGCGTATAAGCTTTGTAAAGCTGTGTGAAGCCCATGTCTCATCGGTGCGCTAATCCACAGGGGTTAACGTGTTGGGAGATGGCGAGGGCTTTGTAAAGCTGAAGAGGGAACGCATCTACCGAGTTGATGACCCATAGGGCACTTCGCGTCAGGTGCGCATAAGTTTTGTAAAGCTGTGTGGAGCCCATGTCTCACTGGTGCGCTAACCCACAGGGTACGACAGGTTGGGAGATGGCTAGGGCTTTGGAAAGCTGAAGAGGAAACGTAACTACCGAGGTGATGACCTACAGGGGACTTCGCGCCAGGTGCGCATAAGCTTTGTAAAGCTAAGGGGCTCATCTACTTGATCTGAGGTGAACATTTTTGATGTTAAATGATTTGATAGCTATCACATATTTCAAAGGTGACAGTTGCGTAAGATGCCCATTCCCCAAAAAGGCTGCTGCGGCTACTTATTGTAGACGGTTGATGGTGATCGAGGCGACGCATTCTACGTGAGCGTGAAGGCCACATCTAGATCCTGGGCGTATATAAAATATGGCATTTTATTTCAACGGCCTAGATTGATGATGCGAGTGATGGCCCAGATTGATTGCATTGGAATTCAACGGTGGAGATCAGCTAGGATGCCCTATAAAAGACGGACTTGAGCCCTTGGGGAGTTTTTCACTTTTGCAAAATCAGAAACTCCATTTGCTCTCAAAAACCCTTGTATTTTTCAGCGTTCTTCAAGTATTTCCTGGCGTTATTCAAGCATTTTCCCACGAAAACTCCAGTTTTCGGAGACTCTACAGCGTTTCCTTGCCATTTTCGATTGTGGAACCCCCATTTTGTGAGTTTTAGTAAGTATTTGACATTTTTCATTTTCGAGAAAATGGCTTTTGAGGGTAGTGGTAGCTCGAGGAGGGGGCTGGAATTAGTACGATTAGACGAGCCCATTTTGGTGACCTCCTTCGAAATTTTCAAAGTGATAATGGAAGGAGAATATATGGAGGAGGCCTGATAGCCCAGTAGATACGTCTATGCATTGGGGGCGTTGGATAACCCCTCTAAGTTAAAAAGTACCGAACTCGATAGACTTAGGGCGGAGTATAGGATTCCAGACAGTGCAGATCTGATCTTACCCGAACCCGATGAGAGGGCCTGCTACCCCAAGCCAGGGTACGTGGCAATTAGTGAAGCAATTCTTAGGGCAAGCCTTATGCTCCCGATCCATCCTTTCTTCCGCCTAGTGCTTAGGTCTTACAGTTTAGCTCCGACCCAATTGAACTCGAACTCCTGGAGCCAAATGGTGGGCTCCTGGATGTTGTGGAAGGAGGTGTCGCTCGGGGTAGAGATGTCATTTTCTATCTTCCAGACCCTCTACATCCCCAAGGTAGCGGCTGGGAGGGACCAGGCATGGGATTCCCATACTCCATTCGTGTTTAATCTGCCGAACTTCATTAAGGAGTGGAAGAGCTCGTGGTACTGGGCTGTCGGGAGATGGAATACGATGGAGAGAGACCCCCTGGCACCTCTTACGGTCCCCATGAAGTATTCTACACTTAGTGAGTACTGACTGCTTTGCATTTATGTTTATTCTTCTTCCGTTTAGATCCTAACTGATATTTGTTTAACTTTGCAGGTACTCTTCCTCGGTGTGAGATATCCAACGACGACTTTGATATCATCTGCATCATCTATCAGCTACCTCCGAAGAAGAGGTCATAACACCAGCTAATTAGGAAAAACATTCACTTCGTGACGCACGATCTGATGGCTTCTCAAGGTAAAATTCCCGAAGTGAATACTCTAGTAGTTTTTCGGACCCTTTATACTTGTAACAATTTGCCTTGTTCTTTGCAGATAACTTTAACAGGAAGATGCCTCTGAGGCCTGACTTCAAGACCATCCAGAAGATGATGGTCGAGACGAGAGCCATGAAGACCTCCTCCTCTGCATACAAGAAGCAAATGGAGGATCTAGTGGATGCTAGCAAGAGGCTCCAGCCTTTGACAGAGGAGGAGGTGGCGGAGGATTTGGAGGCCAACTTGCTGCGGTAGGGCAAGAAGTCTATTGGCCCTTCGAAGTGCCTAACAGTGGCGAGGCCGCCCCCGGTCCTGAAGCAGACCATTATACCTACTGAGGTGGCCATCCCGAAGAAGACACCTGTACCCTCCAAGGCTTTTCCTACCTTAGCTACAGCTCCACTCGCTACTGTTCCAATTGCCCAAGTGCCGAGGCAGTCAAAGAGGAAGAGAGCCCGTCCTTCGAAGGAGGAGAACTTCTTGGGCACCAATTCAAAGGAGCCGATGAAAGAGGTGTTGAAGGCTCTTTCTTCGGAGACGGTGGCAGTAGCGGTGGTCCACAACAAGTATTGGACAGAGGAATGGAGAGACCATATTGTCGCTGCACCACCGAAGACCTCATTGCTGCCAACAATGCTTATGTAGCCCGGGCCCTAAGCATAAGCATCCAACTTGAGGGCTTGGTGAAAGGCCTCAATGCCAAGAGGGAGGACCTCGCGATGCGCCTTCAGGAGGTGATGTATTATGGGGATGCGGTGTGGCGGCCCGGGCCAAGGCCTTGGAGGAGGAGGAGGAGGAAGCAAGAAAAGAAGCCGAGGCCCAACTGGTGGCTACTAAAGGAGACATTGAGCGGCTGACGAAGGAGCTCTATGAAGTGGAGTGCCAGGTTGCTACAACGACTAGAAGGGTGGATCATGCCAATGAGCACCACCGGCTCACCACGGAGGCTTCCAATAAAGAAAAAGCTGAGCTGAGGCAGAGGGCGGAGGCCCAAGCTGAGGAGATTGCCTACCTGAAAGGGGAGATGAAGTCGGGAGAGGAGGTGGCGGTGCAGAACTTTATTGACCACTTCGATGAGCACCCCCTGTACGACGACTTTGCCAATTACTGGGCCTCTTGGAGTGCCCAAGGATTGTTGGGTCGGCTAAAAGAGGTCCACCATACTCTGAACATATCTTCTTTGGAGGCAGAGTTCGGTGGGTCTACTGGAGGTCGAGCTGACATGTTTGCTGAGGAGGCTCAAGAGGTCCCGGAGAGGGGCCAGGCAGAAGCTGGCGTGGATGACGCCCCAGTAGAATAGGGTCATTTTTGTAATGGCTTCGGCCTCTTTTGTAATTCAATTTCAAATTATTGAAATGAAAATTTTTGTTTAAGTATTGTTGCTTCTGCCTTTTCATTGTGTTGAGCTATTTGTACTTGAGTATATGAACGACAATCACTTAAGCAAACAATAAGCACCACTTACCGATAACCTGTCGAGTAAAGGAGATCGAATCGATAACATATTAAATAATTGAGACAACAACTCATTAACTAATTAGATAAAAAATTGAAGTATCATTATTTAGAGGTTACATCATCCATTACTAAGGCAATTTCAGTACTTAGTAAGATAGGGAAGTTACAAATGAGATCGGAAACACATATTAGACAGCATCGAGATCGGATTGGAACATATGTTCATCATTGATAGTACTTTCTCAAGTGTTCGATGGTCCATTGATGAGGCAATACTCTCCCTATCATATCTTTAATTTCAAAAGTACCAGGTCGGGACTCCTTACAGATGCGATAAGGACCCTCCCAATTTGTTCCAAACACTCCGGCCCCAGTCGGCTTTGACGATTGGAAGACCCTTCTAAGGACAAGGTCCCCCAGCCGAAGAGTTCGATTTTTGACTTTGGAGTTGTAATAGCGGGTCATCTTCCTTCGATACTTGGCCAGTTTCACTTGGGAGGTATCTCTCATTTCTTCGAGGAGGTGGAGTTTGCTTATTCAAGTTTCATCGTTATCGATCTCATTGAAGTATATCCGACGATGCGATGGGACCCCTACCTCGACAGGGCTGATGGCTTCGACTCTGTAGGTCATCGAGAAGGGTGTCTCTCCTGTAGCGATTCGGCTAGTTGTGCGGATGGCCCAGATGGCGTGGGGAAGCTCATCGACCCATGCCCCCTTCGAGGCGTCAAGCTTCCTTTTCAGGGTATGCTTGATGGTTTTTTCACTGCCTCAACTTGCCCATTTTCTTGGGGGTGATGAGACGTCGAGAAATCCTTTTTTATCCTCAGTTCCTTGCATAAGTCTCACATCTTCTTGTTGTTGAACTGTTTTCCGTTGTCGGACACTAAGGAGTGGGGAATGCCAAACCTACAAATGATCTTCTTCTAGACGAACTTTTTAGTATTCGCCTCGATGATCTTGGCAAGTGGTTCGGCCTCGACTCACTTAGTAAAGTAGTCAATGGCGATAATGGCAAAAGTCGAGCTTTCTCTTCCTTTTGGAAGTGGACCAATAAAGTCGATGTCCCATTTGACAAATGGCCATGGACTGGTGACCACAGAGAGGCTTTGAGAAAGCTGTCTTTGAATATTTGAGAAGCGTTGGCACTTATCACATTTCTGAACGAATTGGCAAGCATCCATTTTCAGGGTTGGCCAGAAGTAGCCTTGTCGAAGCACTTTGTGTGCCAGAGCCATTCCCCCAGAGTGATTTCTGCAAATCTCTTCGTGGATTTCCCCGAGTATATACATGGCTTCTTCCTCTCCTACATATCGGAGAAGTAGTGAGGCAAAGCCTCTTTTGTAGAGGATATCCTCTTGTAGGACGAAGTGCGCGGCTCTTCTTCTTAACTTCTTCGCCTCGCTTCTTGAAGCTGGTAGTGATTGATCCTTAAGATAGGCCATGATGGGTTGCATCCATGCTGGGGTACTTTCTATCCATAACAACTCTTCACCTCCGAGGATGGAGGGCTTCAACAAGCGTTCAATGGGGACAATATTTAGCAGCTCTGAGTCTTTGCTGCTGGCTAATTTTGACAGGGCGTCTGCGTAAGTGTTCTCGAGGTGTGGGACTTGGATCAATTCGAACATCTCGAAATGTGGGATTAGGTCTAGGACCAATTTTAAATATACGGCCATGCTACTGTCTTTGGCGGCAAAGTTCCTGTTGACCTGACTCACCACAAGTTGAGAGTCTCTATTTGCTAGGAGCCTTTTGACCTGCATTTCTTTTGCGAGCCTAAGGCCTGCTATAAGGGCCTCATATTCGACAGCGTTGTTCGAGACTTTAAAATCGAACCTTACTGCACAATTTAGCTTGTGGCCTTTCGGGCTTTCCAAGACAATCCCAGCTCCGGAGCCAGTCTCTCCTGAGGATTCATCCACGAACAAGTGCCATGTTGGGGGCTTGGTTGGTTCCATTGCCGTGTCCATTTCTGGTGTTATGGTAAATTCAGCCACAAAATCTGCAAGGGCTTGTCCCTTGATGACATGTCTGGGTCGGATCAGTAGGTCGAACTCACTGAGCTCAATTGCCCATTTTAGCAAGCGGCCCGAAGCTTTCATTTTCTGCAGTACTTGCTTTAATGGGAAGTTGGTGAGAACTTTGATTGAGTGGGCCTGGAACTATGGCCTTGGTTTCCTTGATGCCGTGATGAGGGCAAGTGCCAGTTTTTCCATATCTGGGTAGCAGGTCTCTGTCGAGAATAGTGCTTTGTTGACATAGTATACCGACAATTGATGGTCGTCTTCTTCTCTAACTATGACTGCGCTAACCGCCTTACCTGAGACCGCCAGGTATAACAGTAGTGATTCCTGTAGTTTAGGTTTGGATAACAGAGGCGCCTCTCCTAAGTGTTTCTTCAGCGCTTGGAAGACATCTTCACACTCATTGGTCCATTGGAACTTCTTCCCTTACTTCAACACTTTGAAGAAGGGTAGGCTCTTATCAGTGGCTCTAGAGATGAAGCCACCGAGCGCAGCTATCCGACCATTGAGGCTCTGGACCTTTTTCGACTTCTGAGGCGACCTCATTTTCAGTAAGGCCCTGATCTTTTCCGAATTTGCTTCAATTTCCTTTTTGTTCACAATATACCCCAAAAATTGACCCGAAGCCACGCCGATGGTGCATTAGAAGGGGTTCAATTTCATTTTAAATTTCTTAAGAATCTGAAAGGTCTGGTCAAAGTGACTTACGTGTTCATTTGCCTAGAAGCTTTTGACTAGCATGTTGTCCACGTAGACTTCCATGGTTTTACCATTGAGTTTGGCAAACATCATGTTGACCAGCCTCTGATATGTAGCTCCGACATTTTTAATCCGAAGGGCATGACTTTGTAGCAGTATAGTCCTCTGTCCGTGATGAACGATGTGGCCTCCTTATCTGGTCGAAACATGGGTATCTGGTTGTATTCTGAGTACGCATCCATGAAACTCAAGAGTTCATGTCCAGTAGTGGAGTCCACAAGTTGGTCTATCCTTGGCAGTGGGAAGCTATCCTTAGGACACGCTTTGTTTAAGTTCGTGAAGTCTACGCACACCCTCCATTTCCCGCTAAGCTTTCTGACAAGGATCGGGTTGGATATCCACTTTGAATAAATGGCTTCTCTGATGAAGCTACTGCGGCTAAGCTTGTTGACTTCGTCTTTGAGCGCCTCGTACCTCTTCGGGTTGAGGGCCCGTCTTTTCTGCCGATGTGGGGCATAGGAGGTGTTGATGTTTAGGCGATGGCAACTGATCCTTAGGTCTATCCCTACCATGTCTTCATGCTTCCAAGTGAAAACATCTATGTTCCTTTTCAGGAAGCTAATCATTTGTTCCTTTGCCTCGGGGGACAATGACCTTCCTATCCGCAGGACCTAACTGGAGTCCTCTCGGTTGAC